AGGGAAAGGGTTGGAGAGAGGAACACAAAGAATCAACAGGAAGATATTCAGAGAGGTAGAAAGTAAGGGGGAAACACCAAGGGGGAGATGGGAGCATGGGATGGATTGGGTCAACCCAGAAACAACAGCCCAGAACGTCATAGCACCCCCGAACACCCACTTTCCCCTTGAAACAGGAGACCTCAGCCAAGCCCCAGCCCCTACCCCATTCCAGTGCAGCCTTGGGTCCAAAACCTCGCCACCTCCACACCCCTGAAGCACTCACGTATATCTCTGCCATGGCTGGAGCAGCGGACAGGCAGTGGTGGTAGTGGGTATGGCTGCTGGGACCTTAAGTAGAAGCCGGGCGTGGCTGGTCCTGGTGACTCACCGTCACCCCTTTCCACACCCACCACCCACACCTGGCACAGACCCTGGCCCTGGGGCCATGCTGGCCAGCACCCTCCTTCTAGGGCCTCTGACACCCCTGCAATCCCTGAGTATTCCCAGGTGTAAGGTCCCTCTCCTCTGAGCTAAAAATGATAGGAACAGTTAACAATAATAATAATAATAACATTATAGGGACTTCCCTGGCGGCGCAGTGGTTAAGAATCCACCTGCCAGGGGAGAGGACACAGATTCGATCCCTGGTCCGGGAAGATCCCACATGCCTCAGAGCAACTAAGCTCGTGCACCACAACTACTGAGCCTGCGCTCTAGAGCCTGCAAGCCACAACTACTGAGCATGCGTGCCACAGCTACTGAGCCCGTGTGCCACAACTATTGAAGCCCGTGCTCTGCAACAAGAGAAGCCACCGCAATGAGAAACCCGTGCACGGCAACGAAGAGTAGCCCCCGCCCGACACAGCTAGAGAAAGCCTGTGTGCAGCAACGAAGACCCAACGCAGCCAAAAATAAATAAATAAATTTATTTATTAAACAAAAAAACATCAGAGAAGGCTCATTGAGCCACCATCCCTCCAGCCCTACCCTCCTGGTGCCTGGCGGAGAGAAAACACGCTCGTGCCCATTTCACCATGGAAAACTCGAGTCCTGAGAGGCTAAGCGGTGGGCTGCAACTCTGGACCCTCTCTCCCAGGTTAGGACCTGCTGACTAGGGCTAAGGACGTGTCTGCCCTGAAATTCCAGTTTATGCTTCTGTAATATAATAATAACCATGGCGACAACAATAATAATAGAAAAGGGAGCTCAGAGGGGCAGGATATTTTGCCTGATGGTCAAGGCTGTCTCCTTGGTGCCTAGTGCAGTGCCTGGCACACATAAGTGCTCTGTAAATATGGGTGAAAGGAGGAATGAAAGATAACACAGCTGCCATTAACGAAGCCTCCGGCCTTTCTAGCATGTGCCAGAGACCACTGATTTCAGACAGCCCACTGAGGCAGGGCCAATGATCCCCCTTATGTGACAGATAAGGAAACTGAGGCTCAGAAATGAGAAGCAGTTTGCCCAAAACACACAGCTGTGCAGAACCACGGGGACTGTGTCTCTGGCTTTCTTGATCTCTGGAAGTTTCTCTCTGGTTTATTCTGTCTCCAGGATGCCCTAGTCTCTCTGACTCTCTGTCTCTCTGGCTGTCCTGTGTCTCTGTCCCCCTGCCCCCGCCCCCGACGTGTTCCTGTTTCTCTCCTTCGAGTCTCTCTCCCTCCTCCTCCCAGAACCCTTCCTCTCTCCCATCCGATGTTCAGGACAAGGGGCGCAGAAGGAGGGGTGTCCTACGACCCGCCCCCCAGCCAGACCAAGGAAGAGAAAAAAGTGGGACCCTCCGTCCAGGCCCATTTCCACTCCCCACAGCCCAAAACCCCAGAAGAGGAATCCAGGTATGAAGGGTGGGGTCAGAGGGAGAATGCTGAAAGAGGGTTCTGGAAGACAGGGAACGGGGAGCTGGGCAGAAGCCCCTCCTAGCAGCCCCCTCTCCGTTTCCGCCGTCCTACTCCCCGCACCCCACTCCCGTTGGCGCCCCACCCGGCAGAGGGAGAAGAGGCCTGGGGCAGAGCCAGGAACGGAAACTTTGGGTGGAGACAAGCAGGCTCAGAACCTGATCCACAGCCTCGCAGGCGTCCCAGCCTCCCTCCAGGCCCCTGACCACACAGCGAGGGCAGCTGGAGGAGCCAGGGCCTTGGACAGGGAGGCTGGGCAGCTGCATTTAGGCCTTTCGTTGGGGGCTGCAGCCACCCCCATTTGGCAGAGGAGAAAGCAAGCTTAGAGAGGGCCAGCCTCTCACCAAGCCCTCACAGCAAGGACGGGCCAGGGCCCGGGCTGGAGCCGCACTGTGTGCCAAGGGCACCTCATCGGGACTTTCAATAGAGAGGGCAGTGGGGCCTGAGGTGGTAACGCCGACACCTGCTCGGGTGGAGATCCCAGGATGATGGACTGCATTACTCTGATCACTAAGGGTGTCCCTTCTCTCTACCTCATTCTGCATGTTGCTGTGGATCCCACTAGCTCATCTGCTCCCTGATTTCTTCATTGTGCTTAGATATTTCCCAACATGCTGCCGACCTGCAAGTCCCGACCTGACCTTCGTGTTTGGCCAAATGTTTGCATTGAGTCTGTCACCAGCTTGATTGCTAGTTCATTTCTCAGCAGTCAGGTATGGGCATCCTGGATGGATTCTTATTCATTTGTGCTGATTATCTTCCATCATTTCTGGAATAACATGCTTAGGAGTATTTCTGTTTCGCCTCTAAATAAGTGGTGGATGTCCTTATTTCCCAATACTCTTTTTGCTTTCTCGAGCTGTAGGTCACGCTCGTAAGTCATCCAGGTTTTACCGGAACACTTCCATGAGCCTTGACAATACACAGACCTGGGCAACCACCACCCCAATCAAGTTTTAGCCCCTGAAACAGCCAGTCTCCCTCCACCTGCCCCAGGAAACACTGTCACTCCTCAGCATTTAAGAGCCACCAAGTTCATTGGCCATGAAAACAGAGAGAGGGATGCCCAGCGGGCTGAGTTTGCTGGGTTTCTCCTCCTTCAGAAATAACTGGGGTGAAAAGTATTAAGTGTGCCAGGTGTCTGTAGGAATTGAAAATCCCAGGCTCTGTCCATGTCGGCTTCTTGGAGACTTTGGGTTGGTTTTCAAATACAGCGAAGAAAGTTCAGGGGCTGGATTGGTTTTGTAAATCCAAATCCTTACCAGTGAGGAAAATGACATGTCTTAAAAATCTGACCTTTTTTTGTTTTTTGTTTTTTTGGCCCTGCTGTGGTTGACTTGTGGGAACCTTTTCCCCTGATGAGGAATTGAACCCGGACCCTCGGCAATGAAAGCACCGAGTCCTAACCACTGGACCGCCACGGAATTCCCCAAAATGCGACTTCTTCTTAAGCTAGGAAGTCCACTGGAAACCTTACAGTTTTATTTATAAATATAGTAAATTGTATCGATGCAATCACTTGCTAAGAGAAGCAGTTGCTGTCATATTTGGTTCCATTGATAAACCGACTTCATTAAACCCCTTTAAACATTTTAATCAGAATGTGGGGTTTTGACATGCTGAGTTTTAAGTATTTCCACTGTCTCTCCAAGGCCAAAGTCGTCTTGTACGTTTCCGTCTTGCTCTGTGAAAACACTGATTTGCTGTTTCTCCTCGTCTCCTCCTTCCTTTCCTTCTGCTGAGCAGTTGGGTGCTCCAGCTGTTACGCTGGTGATTAAGTGCTGCCTCTGGGGGGTGGGGGGCCCACAGGGCGGGGTGAGGGGGCTGAGGGGGCGCCCCTCCCCCAGGGCTGGGTCAGCTGGGGTGTCAGAGGGAGCCGGTGAGGAGGGTGCTCAGCAGAGGCTGGCCCTCAGGAGGGGGGTAAGGAGGGCGGCGGGACAGCGGGGAGCGCAGCCCCGACGTGGGAGGAGGTGTCTGTGCAGGGGTGAGGGTCGCTGGGGGGTGCTGGAGCCCAGCGGGGGAGGGGGGCTTCCCCAGGGGGAGGAAATGCCATGTGGGTGTCAGCGATGGAAGGAAGTCCAGAGCTGCTGTCTCCCTGTCAGAGGAGGGACGTATAGATGTGGACCAAAGAAATGGGCCGTGAACCCTGTGACATCGGGCTGGAAACGGAAGTATCCAGGAGGGACGATAGATGTGGACCAAAGAAATGGGCCGTGAACCCTGTGACATCGGGCTGGAAACGGAAGTATCCGTTTGAAGTAATGATTGCACGAGTTGGAGATTTTTGGAGAGGATTATTTTAAAACGTTTTTAAAAATTGTGTTAAAATAGAAAACCATGGAATTTACCATTATAACCCTGTTGTAAACATACAGTTCAGTGGCCTCAAGTACTTTGACATTGTTGTGCAACCCTCACCACCATCCATCCCCAGAACTTTTTCACCTTCCCCAACGGAAACCTGTACCCACTAAACACTGGCTCCCTGTCCCCCTGTCCACACCCCCTGGCCACCACCATGCTACTTGCTGTCTCTGTGAATTTGACTGTTCCGGGTACCTTGTATGAGTGGAGCCATACTTGCCCTCTGCGACTGATGAGTATTACATACACATAAAAGAGAAAGAAAGATGGATGTAAATATGTGTGTGTGTGTTGAAGGGTGACAAATATGCCACCCAAAATATTACCCTTTGGGACTTCCTTGGCGGTCCAGTGGGTAAGACCCCACTCTCCCAATGCAGGGGGCCTGGGTTTAATCCCTGGTCAGGGAACAAGATCCCGCATGCCACAACTAAGAGTTTGCATGCTGCAACGAAGATCCCACATGCCACAATGAAGACCTGGCACAGCCTAAATAAATAAATATTAAACACCACCACCAACAACAAAATATGCCCCTTTGGCCTGAGGATTATTTTGAGCTAAAAGCACTTGAAAAGCAGCAAATACAGGAAGGGCATTCTAATCTCCCCTTTTCTCCTGAAAACAGGAGATAAAAACTATTAAGTGAAAGACACCCTACTTGTACCCAAGGAAAGTAACATTTTTATCAGCAAGCTGAGACCTAGAGAGTTCAATAAAAACAGGCCTTGTTAAAATAATTCTTATCTTCCTTTAGCCTCCCCACACATTAGTTACTTTTCCACAATTGCTTTTATTGTTCTTAGCTTGAAGGTTTCGCTGTTTCTTTGCATTTATTTCCTTATGAGGGCTCCAGGATCATGTAAAACATTTAAATGTGTATACAGGGACTTCCCTGGCGGTGCAGTGGTTGAGAATCCGCCTACCAATGCAGGGGACACAGGTTCGAGCCCTGGTCCAGGAAGATCCCACATGCCGCGGAGCAACTAAGCCCGTGCGCCACAACTACTGAACCTGCGCTCTAGAGCCCCCGAGCCAC